CTGATATGATCAGACTGCATTGACTCAAAGTTAACTTAAAACTGAACTCTGTAAATTACTCAATATAAATACAGGGTGTCTCAGAAATAAGTACATTAATTTTAATCAGTTATAGACAGTAGGCGGGAATTTATCTTACGGATACAATTCCCCAGTTGAAGCAAGGTGTGTTTTACGGCGAGTAGCGGGGACGCTTTGATCTGGTCCACAAGGTCGTAGCCAGTGCGTCGCTTAGGAGTGTTTACAGCTTGTTAAAAAACTACTTCTATATTACTATATTACTTCAAAAAATAATACTCGATGTCCTTTTTAATTTTTCAAACACAGGACCACAGATTTGTGAACTTGAAATGTTATATTATGTTGATATAATCCAAAAGAAAAATATATTTGTAATCAAACTATCGCCGTGACAGCACTGGATCTAGCGTATGAAACACAATTCCGCCCGTTGGTTATAGAGCTCATTGAACTCAACAACTTTTTTTAGTAAAGTTTTGTCAAGAACTTTTTAATTATCAAGTTAAAAATTGTTAAAGTTATATCCCAATTAAGGTTACCCGCCCATGGATCCTCAGTCACCCATGGATACTAATAATTATTATAATTAATAATTTATGGTCAAAAACAGTTACTGGGATACGTATTTTCCTAATCTTGTCAATGTGACAAACATTTAGAGAGAAATTGAAAATCCTGCTCCCTAATGGCGTACGGAATTTCATCGGCCCAAATGTGGGTGTTGAACACCTTCCCTCGTGTAACCGACCTCATCAGTTGATGGTATAAGAGATACAAAATTTGCTTGTTCGTTTATTTTTCCATTAACCCACTCACAAAAGTTTTGCCTACGTGGTAAGTCTGTTAGTTTCAATAACTGAACTTTCTGGTCCTGAAAGGGGTACATTTGTTCTCTGAGTATCCTCCAAATACTACTCTCCGATACATCACACTAGACAGTAGTAGTGATACGTGCTAGTGCCCGGTCGAGCTTCGACACTCTTCAAAACAGCCTCTTCAATATTAGCAAATCTATTACTACGTAACTTACCCCGATCCTGAGGTGCAGGTTTAAAAGTTCCGTACTCTCGAAAGTGCTGCAACGTTCTTAAAACTGCGCACATTTGGCAGACGACGATTTGGGAGGTTTTCTGAAAAAATTCGTTGGGCGCGAGTGCCGTTTCCTCGAGCTTCACCGTACGTTAAAACGATATCGGTGCATTCCAGATTTGAAAACAAAGCCATTTCAACACATTTCGTCTATAAATTAGAAATCTGTGCCAAACAAACTTTAAAGAGACAACGTTTAGTAAAAACATTGACATAAAAATGATTGTCAGTGTCAAAACGGTTGCTAGGGTACCTTCTTCATTGTTGTAGTGTTGTTATTATTTAAGTTATGATTTAAGGTGAACATAGACGGCTCGTGAATATATGGGTGGGAAAATTCGAAATTCGACTTGAGTTTTCGAAAAAATGGTAGATAAAAAAGTTGTTCCGTTTCACGAGTTCTGTTACTGGTTAAAATTAATGTACTTATTTCTGAGACACCTGTATAGTCCAGAAAAAAAAAACGTAAATTGTGTCTCTGTCTACTCCGGGCTACTTTTATTTTCATATCTGCCAATTATTAAACCACAGAAAAACTGTCCGCCTTTTTGCAAATAAGATTTTTTAATACGTATAATTAACACGCAATTTAATTTTCATTGTGAATCAAACATTTTTTTTTTTATTTTTAGGAATACAATTTTGGGGTGGTTTGCTTCTAGGTTAACCCCCTCCAAACTGTCGGCCTTTTTGCACATATTTTTGAATATGTATAATGAACACGCTATTAAATTTTCAGCGTGAATTAAGCACTTTTTTGGATTTTTAGGAATACAACTTTGGGGTGATTTGGTTCTAAATTAACCCCCTCCAAACTGTCGGCCTTTTTTGTTTTTTTTTTATTGTAAACCAACTTAATTATTGAAGTGGAAATGTCTTTATTGGTTTATGAATAATATGAATTAATTTTTTTTTTTGGTAAAAGTGTTGAATTGTACGTCTTTCTCACTGAATATTTGAAAATTGTTTTTTAAACATGTTCTAAATTTATCTATATCGAAAAATTTGAAAAGATGGAATAATCAAAACATGTAGGTAGGTATATTTTGACAAAGCATTAAAAATTTAATTTTGTTGTGGATACTCTCATTATCAAACTCTTTTAAAATTTAACTATACATTACCGTTCTTGGCAATATTAATTAGGAAAATTGAACATATTAAGTTTATGCCAGGAGTCCTCCATGAAATATTTTGTTATTTAACTATTAAATTAAGAACTTTAAATGACTTTGAAAACGACTGCTCTTTTTATTTGGATTAAACAACTATAACCACAGGAAAACAATATTATATTGCTTTATCTACCACGTTTGGAGTGCATACTTTAAGAAAATCGGAAGATGTTTTATATGTCACTACACACACATACGATGGTTACTAATTCATTATATGTTAGGTGGAATCAACAGTCGATGGAAATAAGTTATTTACAATCATTTTATTGGAAATTCATTTGTAGGCAGACGTAAAATCTTTAATCATGCCATATTCGAGAGAGAAAGATCTATAACCATCTTTGCACCAAAATTGAGCTTAATTTGATTAATATAACATCTGATATGGGTTCTTCTAATTGATCAGTTTGGAAAAGATTTAGCATACGATGTAGAAAATTTGTGATAGAAAACTTTATATTGAATCCGGTTCACAGCAGTAAAAAAATATTTTTTATGGTAGAAAATCTTCGCTCGGCTTTAGTAAGTAACAAAACTATAGTACTACTTGATGAGATTTTCCAAAAATATGAACTCCCTTCTAATACCTATAGTTGAAATAAAATAAGAATCTATATTGAAAATTTTGTAAACTTTGAAAAGAAACATGATTTGAAACTGGATCCTATAACCAGCAATTTATATAATTTAAACTATTTTAATAAAATAAGCGTGTCTTTGCCATATACTCGTAATTTCATGAATTTTACTGTACCTACTGTTTTTGAAAACTGTTACAAATGGTTCAAATTGAAGTCTTCCAGAAGTAACAACTTGGCCATCTCAATATTAAACATAGTGAAATGTAAAGACACTGCATTTTTTTTGAAGCAATTATTTATTTATTTCAGGATATACAGGTGTTTTTAAAGGATATGCAAAAAAATCTGGTAAATCCGGCCATCTCGGAAAGCCATATAAAACTTTTTTCATTGTATAAATCTCACAAAAAAATATTTCCCGTCCACATTTATGTATCTTGTGCCAGTGATAAATATCGAGTGTCTAAACATTTAATTAGACACCCGATATTAATTAGGTGCAAAGGGTGCATTATTAATAGATTTCTAGCAACTGCCCTAAAGAAATAATCGAAAGTGATAAATAAAAAGCCAAAATTTATTTCTTGCCTGTCATGTCCTTTAGAAAAGAAACTAGCGAAGAAAATCCAAATCGATTACTCAGAACTCAAGGAGTAGGTATGTTTGACTATTATAACTACAGTGTACATTATCATATTATTAAAACGAAAAGATTCTAATTTTAAACTACCCATAAGTATGCCACGAAATGGAAAACAAGATTTTGAAAGAGTTTTCATTATTTCGAGTTCGAATATTTTTAAAAAGATAAAAAAAGGTAATTAAAAAGAAAGTCCTAAAAAAAAGAATATTCTAAGAAAAGTAGAGGCTTGGGTATGCGAAATAATGTTATTAATCTTATAGATTAGTTAATAGCAGTTACTAATTATGAATTAATTTTCATATTATTGATGTTATAAAAGAATGATTGAATATTTCTTTTTTTTTGTTTTTACCGTTGGTTTTATGGACTGGCTAACCTTGGCAGCTAAAAGAGAAAATTGGACAATAGGTTTCTTCCCTCTGGCAGTGTTAAAAAATAAATTATGCAATATTTGCCCTTTTTTCTATGAATATCACGTCCAGTTACATCTGACAAATATGTCCTCACTTTTTATAACTTATAACAATTCATACCAAGGCACTTTAGTTACAGGCGCCACGTTCTCGCAGCTGTGTTCGCCTGACCTTGTCTGCATTCGTCCTCATTCTCTTGTCGTCTTTTTCTGCCCTATGTTTTGGAGTTTTCTATTATGTGGAAAATCACGGGATTTTGACGGGCTGGCAACCTCCGCCTGCACCCCCGTCCCGCCTTTCTTATCTTAGCACCACATAGTTATGTCCTCCATCTTAGATACGTGTCTTCATGGTCCGAGATTGGGTGTTAAGATATGTCAGAAATCATTCTTCAGCGGGGTTTGTAATGTTTGTGTTTATTAAAGTTATCTCACCACACTGTCCCAGAACTTCAACGCCAAAAAGATATTGCTCCAGAGGGTTATCTAGGCAGTCCACAGCAAAATCTCTATGCTCGTTTCATAATGTACTATGATCTCAATTTGTTACTGAAATTTTGCTTCAACCGTGCTATTCGACAGATCTACAAAAGAATAGCTCATTTTTACAAACCACTATAAAAAATCCAGACTTTAACTTCAAATTACCAAAGTCAAATTCGTTAAAGACCTTTGTCTTTAAAGTCAAAAAGAAAGAAATCAGAAGAAGTTGCTTTCAACTTTCGCTGTCTTGAAATGATTGTAAATATAAATAAATCTGGTACAATATATAAAATGATTTTGTACTAAAGAATTAAGAAAATGTTTAATGCAGGACTGCCACTCTACTTAAAAATAACTTCTCAGAAAAGAAAAATTATTTAATTTGTAATTAACATTGTTATCTGTTGTGATTAAAATCTTATAATAGAATGTCAGGTTTGGCAGAAAGTAGGTACGCAGTCGTTAATTAAAAGTAAATCATGAGTGACAAAAATTATTTTTTCTAACTATAACTAATAAATATTTAAAATAGTTGTTAAGAAAAATGAGTTCAGTTTAGGTGTTGATAAAGTTCGCATAGTGCCAAATAATGGTGAAACCAGTCTATCAATTTATTGTGTATAGTTAAAACATATGAACACAACGACTCACTACTTGATCAGACTAGAATTTTGAACTACACATAAAGTACTCGTTATTTATGTTGGGGGGATTTCTTGTTCCATTCTTGTTAACTGAATGTTTCTGTCGGTGTCTGTAGCAGGACCAGCGAATTCGCCAGTTCTTAATCGAATTCTCATGTCTAGGCATCTTATGTCCGTCATTAGAGAATGACTCTTGTTTGCGAGATCTGTATCAATTATAACCTGTTGATTCTCTAAAGCGTTATACGTCGCTTTAGCGCAATTTATTTTATTTATCAAATCATTTCTAGTTTGTCTTAACTGTGTTACTTCATTCTTTAATCCCGATTCAGCTTCATCTCTCGCTAATTCAAAACCAGGTCTGTACGCTCTGTTCTCTAGACGAGTTTCGCATAATTTCAACCCATCAGTTTTTGCTAACAAAGCATCTTCCAAAGTTTTAATTTCTTTAAGAAGCTTTTCCATTTCTTCCCTCATTTTAAACTGTTGCCAATCTAATTCATTACGAGCTTTCTGGGTCTCATAGATTCTTTTTCTCAAAGTGAAGTCTGCTCGGTCCCTCTGAGCCCTCAAATCATTGCGAGCTCTTTCCCTAACCACAAACAAAGCTTCACGCAATTTATGCGTGTCCGCCAATTCGTTGTCAGCTAATTCTTTAACATGTTTTGAATGTTCTAACCACGCTTCATACGGAATTGAACTAAAAAGAAAAAATAATCAGTAAAGCAGAAATACAGTTATCTTTTAGGTACTTTTTGACAATTCTTAGTGGATCAGTTTTATAGCTTATATTTGCACAATTTTTGTCCAATGTTAACTGATCCTTATCGATCTCAATAGCTTCAGTCTTGTCGTTCACTTCTAAGTTTAACCTGAAGCGAACTTCTTCCAGTTTGTTAAGTTTTTCCCAAGCTGCTTGACAACGTTCTACTAAAAGCTTCTTTACACTTTCAACCACGCAAAGTTCCTACCAAAAAATGAGAGATTTAAGATTTTAACGTCACTTTTCAAAATTCTATACCCTTTTTAACTCAGTATCTCCATCATCGTAGGTCAGTTCTGCCCCTTGCCTATTGTCCCTCATTGAAATACATTCTGCTACTACATTTAACGGAATTCCCAAAGCATCTAGTTCGCGTTCGGTGGAAAACTTTTCGTCTTTCAAAGCCGCTATTTCTTTATCCACTCTCTCCAAGCATGATCTTAATGCATCCCTCCATCTATCTAATTCTGTTATACGATCTGCCAAACGTACGTTATTGTGATAAGTGTCCCATTCTGTACGAATTTTGGTTTCATTTCGTAGTTGTCGTGATTCATGTCTTAGGTTGAAAGCGTCTGCTCTTCGGGTGTCGTTAGTCTGTTGATTTTGCCACTGTTTAGCATGCCAGTCAGACAGACTAATGTGTTGAATCGGTTTTTCAAATGTTACTACCGACATAATTAGTTTATTAAATATTTGTTAGAAAATTCACAAGAGTTTTACTTTGCACAAAGTGCTGTAACACTTTGAAAATATTGACAAAACAATAATAAATGGCTAACGTAGCGACGTTAGTAAACATTGTTATAGAAACCATTGACACTGACGTACGTATGGATTAAACAGTTTACACGGAATAATGACCTTTTTTTCATAATAACATTAATAACTATTTATTTAAGAAGGATATTTAATTATTTACATATATTATTTTTTTTATTTACAATTTTTTACGACTCTAGAATTTTAACTGTGGGTTAAAATTTGCCATTTTTATTGAAACGTCATCTGTTGATTTTGCTTAAAATTTAGCAATTAGTAACAACTTTCGCTTGATTGAGAACGACTTTCAGTTAGAAAATTGTCTGAATATGAACGTTTCCAAATTTACCATCAACACTACTATTATAGTTAGTTATAAATGGTTATTAAGTGGCTTTAAATCAAGGTTAGTAAAGAAGACAAGGTTGCCTGGTAACTAGTAGTGGGGATACCACGTTTTGTGCAGTCAGCTTTTGCCGGTGTTTGGATGGTTCTATGGTTAGTTCGTTGATTTGCAATATTTTTATTATGTGTTTTAATGCAAAAAGTTGTGTTTGATTGTGTTAATTGTGTTTTGCTGGTGGACATTTGTTTCTGACTCGTTAGTTTAAGTTAGTTTTTAGTGTACAGACATTTCAATTTTGCGATTTTAAATTGGAGTTAACAACTTATATTGTATATAATTTTTCTGTACATCATAAATTTTTATACACTTCCATCCTTATGCTTATTAGAAAATATATTCGATGTGACATACAACAATGAAACTGAAGTGCCAAAAGAAAAAGGAAGAGGAGAAAGGGAGCTTCTTGTAGAACCTTTGATTGGGGAACCTGAGGCATCGAAAGTAACAACACCAGATCAGAATGTTTAAAAAAATAGAAATTTGAAAAAAGAAAACACTCGTCTGAAAAATAAGATCGCAGTATGTATGAAAATGAGGATCATTAAAAAAAATAGAAATAAATAGAAAGGGAAGAAGCAAAAGGCGTTAAAGGAAAAACACGTCAAATACGGAGGTCAAACTCTTACATCTTTCTAGATGCATTCTTTTATACGAAGAAACACTCCTTTTAATAATAATTTATTTGGTATTAATAAACGTAAATGCGTGACTAGCTCAAAATTAAGCAAAACACAATTTGAAAAATCCTCTATTTTGTAATAAGCCTAGAACTTGATAAAAAAAAAATAATTTTCTCAAAATATCAAAATAATGTTGCATACTTCGAGCTTTCATAGTGTGACCACAATATAGATATCAATCAGTAGAGACAGCTCGTGTCGGCGCCTTTGTTCTTTCTGACCCGAATTTTAAGCCGTCATGGGTGGTCGTTGCCTAAACTATTCCTAGATGTCGCCACCCAATTTAAAAAGTATCACTTCATTTACAATTTCAAAAATTGATTCGTGTACGCAATTTATTGCAAACTGTGTAGTTTGCTCAAATCGTATAATCGTGAATCGCAATAAGAAAAAAGAAAAATCGACATTTAATTTATAAACACGATGATTTGTTACAGTTTTTATTTTATTACTTATACAATTTGACAATTCGCACATTTTTTCCCCGAATACTTGAGGTTTAATTATCATTGTAAAAATAATGTAATAAATACATCTAAAAAGAAAGAGGTTTATTTAAGAAAAAATAAATAAAATAAAAAATAAATTACAAAAAGGAAAAAAGTTGATGCTGCCAAATTATTTTCTTTCTATTAATTTTTTCACCTTTGGCATTTGTAAATTTTAAGCTAGCATTTACAAATTTTAGTGTATAAAATAATCTCATCCTTGCATACAAAGCAAGCAAATAATCGTATGGAAAGATTTGGCATGGATAAACAAATGTAACTTGCTTATATAAATTTAAAAATTTCAACAAAGTAGTTCTTTGTAAAATTATATTTTCAAAATTTTCACTAAAAATTTGCTCTAATTACAAATTTAAAAAAAAGAAATTATCGTTTGGCATGTATAATTTACCAAATAACTGGCAATTCTTCGTTTGGTATGTACTAATAAACATTTCCGAATTAGGTAGCCACAGATATATCTAACTGCGTTTTGTTTAGCTGTGTGAAAGTGTTAATCACAATCTTTTAAGGTGGTCTTCTGCATCGTGGTGACTGATTCTTCTTCATCAAAACGACGACCTACATTTAACTTTAAAATTTTTTCCATATCAGGCTCGCAGTTTTGATTACCTGTGTTCGTTTCATCAAAATAATCTTGTATGATTAATTTTCTAAAAACCATTTGAAATTGATTAGATGTGGGGTTAATAGAATTTCCATTTTGTTTCCTAATCCATCCAAAACAGTTTTCTAGTGCGTCTTGGCAAAGGCGTCTTGTTAATATATAGTCAAACCCATTTTACCTAACAACTTAACCCGTAAGCGTAATATCATATAAAGTAAAATTTTTATTAAAAAAAAATTATTACAAAAAAAATTAATATGTGTCGGCTCACATAAAGTGCAGGTAATTGGTATGGGTCGACGCAGGTAAGAATAATTAAGGAATTCATGAAACCGGAAGTCCATAGGGATTCAGCGAAAAAGGATATTTGACAAACTGTACGGCTTGGGTCATTTTTACCCACGCGCGACTGCTTATGGGTTAAGCAACATCTCAAAATAAAACTCACAATTGTGTAGGTCAAAAAATATATATATATACATGATGAATAAAAAAATTGTTTATTGAGAGAAGGTCTGCTTATATAATTTTTTGTTACGTGTAGTTTGTTTCTTATTATTTTTATATTTAATTTCACCACAACAACGGAATCATATATAATAAATTTTTATTTTTTATTTCATAACCACCGTTGTTGTCCGTTTGCGACGACTTTTTAAACAAAAAGTGTGTTATGTTTACTATCTTTTCCAAGAATTCCAAACACGATGGAGAGAATAGGGCGCACAACAGGGATCCTGTATGAAAATTCATCGGACAAAGATTTTACCTTTTATTGTGAAAATTACATTTTTATACCATTTGTACAATTCTACCGGAAAAGCAGTCTTAAACAAGCAAAACCGGCAAAAATATTGTAACAAAACTGCCAAATTTCAAATATTTTAGACGTCAGTTGGGGGCCCTCATTCGGTCATAATGCGAACGACCACCCACGAAAACGGGTCACGAAAAACGGCGAGCTGTCTCTAACTGTGGTGTGACTTTAGTATTGTTTTCAATTAATAAAATTACTATTACTCGGTACTCTATATTTTTTCTTAGTGGGATAAAGTCAAATTTTGTTTTTACGTAATTCAATTTTCTGATCAACGTTCAAGACCCAAAATTCTGTTTTCATAAAAAATACAACTTTAACGCTCACACCTCATGTAACTGGAAATTGCATGTTGCAAAATAGCTCGTCAATTTACACAAATTATCATCCATTTTGAGTGGTTTGAGACAATTTGTAAAATTTAAAAGGGCACGCCCGACGACATCAGTTCCCGCGTAGCTCTAATTGGTTGAAAGTTACAAGGCAACCTGTTTTCTTTGCTTTTCTTTTTTTATAGTTAATTAGCTAGATATAGACAACCAGCAATACGAGTACCAGTAAAATTACGCGATGAACGTAAACAATTTTCTGTTGTGACAGATAAACATAACCTATCTTATTATAGGTTAACTTTAATGTTACCTCGTGTTTACGCCAGAGTTTTTAAAAATTACAGTAGCAAAATGAGTATTTTTGTGCAAAAACTGAATCCTATCACGGGTCTCAACGATTGGACAGTGCAACAAGAGGATTATGATTATCATCAAGAAGTGGCAAGATCATCTTTCGCAGATATGCTTCATGATACTGAAAGAAATCAAAAATACGAATCTGCACTTAAATCAGCGATAAAAATGATGCATGCAAATGGGAAAAAGGCAAACGTGTTAGATATAGGAACAGGTACTGGACTGCTATCAATGATGGCTGTGAAACACGGAGCCGATAGTGTTGTGGCATGTGAAGCCTTTGTGCCGATGAGTGAATGTGCTCAGAAAGTAATAAAACGCAATGGTTTTAACGAAAAAATCAAAATTATACCGAAGCGATCAACAGAATTAACAGTGGGACCCAATGGCGATTTATCAACACGCTGCAATATTTTAGTGACGGAAGTTTTTGACACTGAGTTGATTGGTGAGGGTGCCATGGCTACATTTACTCATGCACATAAAGTTTTGTTGGAGAAAGATTGTATAGTTGTACCACAGTCAGCAACGATCTATGCACAAGTTGTAGAGAGCCCGTTTATACAAAATTGGAACAAATTAAAAGATGTATATGATGATGAAGGCAAATTGTTGATTAAAATTCCACCGATGATAAGAAACTGTGCTGGGTCTGCTGCAGTTCATGATTTGCAGTTGAGTCAAATTAACTTAGATCTAGTTAAGTTTCTAACTGCACCAGTACCAGTCTTCCGATTTGATTGGTCCGGTCGTACCCCTTTAATTTTTGAACAGTCTACAATTCATTCTATCAGAGCGAATCGTGCTGGAGTAGCTCAGGCGGTTTTTATGTGGTGGGATTTACAAATGGACACAGAGGGTAAAGTTATTTTAAGCTGTGCGCCACACTGGGTACACTCTGTGGCAAAAGATTGTATTCAGTGGAGAGATCACTGGATGCAAGCAATTTATTATTTACCACAAGAAGTTATTATTAACAGAGATATGGAAATTAATTTAATCAGTTCACATGATGAATATTCACTTTGGTTTAATGTAAGGTCTGATCTTAAGCTTACAAATACTGATTACTTGAAACCAATATGTGAATGCGGGTTGCATATGACTGTTTCACGTACACGAGTGGGTCAAATAAATGACTCCCTTAGGAATAAGAAATATATTAGTCTCTTGGAAAAAAATGTAAATAGAAATAGTGTCATATTAGTGTTAAGTGATGGTTTTTATTTAAGTTTATGTGCAGCAAAATTGGGAGCAAAGAAAATATATTACATAGAAACCAACCATTTATCTAGAAAAATTTTGCTTGACTTTATTCAGCATAATGAAATTTCGAACGTAGAAATATTCGAAAATATTGAAGCTTTACAAAGTCATGAACATCTTGACAAAATTAATATGGTTTTTGGAGAACCATATTTTTTGAATAATATATTGCCTTGGGATAATTTATTATTTTCGTATCTTTTGAAAGGAGTAAAGACTTTATTAACAGGTGACGCAAAAATATTTCCTAAAACCGTTGTTATTAAAGCTTTAGCTGTCAAATTTAGTGACTTAAATAAAATTCGACTACCACTGGGTGAATGTGAAGGATTTTTAATGAAGGACTTTGATGAACTTATACAGGTATTGTGATTATACTCTTTAAGCGAATTTCAAACATGTATTTATTAGTCATACATTCTTAGAGTTTGGTGCAAAACGAAAGGAGCCATCACGTGGGCTGCGCATAGTGTCAATTTATTTCGGCCGAGTCCATTGTTCCTCCGAAAGGGAGAACGTATTTGCAATGGCATGCACCCAGCCCAGAATATATTATTTTTGCCATATTTAATAAATAATAGTAATGGTTTTAGTAATGTGATATATTTTAAATTCATTTTTTGAAGGGACATAATATTTACTATAACTACGTGACTTTCTTATGCTACAGACATTGCGCCACTGTCGTCTAGAAGCCCCGCCCCTAGCCTCTTTCGTTTTACATTCGACTTTAGTTCAATTAAAATTTAAACCTCTTTGGGTCATCTCATGCAAAATCCACTCTTAAATGTTTTTACTAATAATATTACTTCTTTTAGACGTCTAGTAATATAAGTGATGATAATGTTGAAGCGCAACCACTTTGGGAGTATCCAGGGATCGCTTTGAGCAAAACTCTAGAAATCATTACTATTGACTTAACTAGTATACCAGAAAAAGTCATTGAGCGGTCTGGACAATTTGATATAGAAGAAAGGTGAAAAACAAAAATTTAATTTAATAACTCTTTAATTTTGTGATTTATAGACAAGGTCCATGTAATGGTATTGCACTGTGGGTTGAATGGATTAATGATGAAGATCTTAAGAATGTAATTTCTTCAGGGCCTATCTTAAGCCCTCAAATAGGACACTCCATAGACTGGGACGTTCATACTAGGCAAGGAGTTTGTTTATTTGCAGACCGATCTACATCTAAAATTGACTATACATTTAAATTTGATTTTAATGAAGGCAACATCAGCTTTAGGTGTAATTAGTTATCTGAATATATTTAGTACCTTAAAACTAAGGCTTTTTGTTGACTTTCATGAAACCAACATTGAGGGACCACATCATCTGCAAAGAACAAATGAGTTACATGATTTACTTAATTAAATGATTTGCATTATTCCAACAACTGTGATATGTTCGTTTCATCGTCATTGATTTTTTGCCACATACATCATTAAATCCATTAAATGTTGAATAGACCTGGTGACATCTTTTATTGCTAAATGCGTACCTTGTGTTTTAACGGTGTTATCATTTCACGACATGAATACAAACTAACTTACGCTGTTTCATAGTACCGAATGACAAGTGCACAATGTAACAGAATAACGGTAAAACCCACAAGAAGTTCCGCTGCGTGCACTCTAAGAAATAATGGTAAAATGATGTGTTCGCTATATAGAAAACTAATGGCCCCTTTAATTTACTTTATTTTTTAAAGCTAATTTGTAAATATGAGCAAACAGTAATTAAACCGAGTTTACACCATGCGTTTGGAAAAAAACCTACACCTGTGACTGTCTTATGTTTTTGAGTACATCATTCTAAAACCCGCGAAAATTCAACAAATCGCTAAATCAAAATGCAAAATATGGAGAGCACATTGTTTAAATAGGTCTGAGGAGGCATATTTCTCCAGCTTTCAAAAACTAATTAGTGTTGCAAATAGATACCTACAAATATTGGAATATCACAAATTTGCACACACAAAAAAAGAGATCTTCATTGCAGTAGCTGGATGGTAAAACCCAAGGTTTTACGATGGTGTGGTGGCAAATTTAGATTATGGACTCGAGCAAAAAAAACATGATAGCAAACTACGAAATGAATGCCTCTGTCTGATTCATGTCGGCGAAATCCGGTATTCCAGATAAATACTGACTTGATCAATGATTGTGGGAGAAAACTTTCTATTTCTAATTCTAAACAACAAAGAACTGCACTGGACATCCCACCGTTAAATCATTTTTAGATTTTTTTAATTTTCTGTCCTTTCAATGCAATAATGTGTGCAATCATTTAAACCGAACCCTTATTAATCTTGTTATTGGCAATAAACAAATTGATGTCTCTAGAGCAATGGATGTTTTAGTGACAGAAGACTTAATAAAGCTTACATCAACCATCCCTGACGTGGACACCTAATTTTCTTGCATTCACCTCCTCAAAAATGTTGACCTCTCGGGGAGTTCTCCATTTTAACTTAAGTAAAACCAACTTTCCAAGTTTATATAATGAGTTTTTACACACCAACTGGGATTTTTTGTTTCAATTAATATTTTATGTAAAGCATTTTATGATCGCATTTATTGAGCATAATTGTTACTTAAATTTTATAAAATAACATGCTTCTATACTTGTGGTTTATGAATCTGCCTTAATTTCTACTCTAACGAACTAAATTTTTTTAAATAATTGTTCTAGTGATTAGTCACTACTTGTTACTGATTTTTTTTTACTTTCGGCAAAAAACTAGTACCCCTCATTTATTACTATTTTTATGTCTTCACCAGCGAGGTCTGAGTAAGCACTTGTTCTTTATAAAAGAATGCTCTATGGGTATCGTTGGTGATTTTTAGAAATAGCAACGGTTACGGTTTTGTGATTTTTATTAGTTGCTTACGGTTTGAGAGCTCGAGAGAGAAGTTAGAAGGGTGTTTGAAATTGTCGACAGGTAGGTTCGGTTTTGGGGAGGTCATGTCAGGTCAGTATGAGCATAGGGCAGGTAGACGAAAGATAGGACGTATTTACATTTGTACAAGATTTACATAAATTATAAATGCGTTCAGGTAGATCACTTATTTTTAGAGGAACGGTTGTTCCTACAACTCGTTAGACAAATTAATTGATGTGATCTGTTGTTTATAAAATAATAACAAACGTTAATATAATTTTCTCAATTTAGATACGTATAAACCCCGGTTCAGTGGACTTTCCAACGATATTTGGGTATAATTAATAAAAAAACTATGACATATTTTAGACTTTTAATACTCAACAAAATACCATTGTAACAAAATAATTACTGTTCCTATAACATAAAGCAACACTTTTACAATAAATATTTAGTAGTAAAAACATTGGACAAGATGCATTTTTGAAATACAACGTGTTTAATAAATACGTTCTAGTGCTATACATTTTAAAAACTTCAAAAAAATATGTAGGTATGTACTACTTGCTATGTAATCATAACACTTTACACTTACTTGGGTAGCTTGCATTCTTACATATATTTTGTATACAAATGAATACCTTTACCATCATGTTTTCATTAAGATGTAACGTTTCAAATTAAGATTAAGGTATAACAGCTTACTGAAAAAACACAAATCTATATTATATATATTAATATATATTTATATCACAATTTTGCTATGTAATTCTTATCTCCATGACATTTTTTGTAATTAAATTGAATTTAGAGAATCGTTTAATGCAAAGAATAGTTGCAGAAAGTAAAAATACGAGCTGCCCTTATCAAATGAACTTAAAAAAATTGTAAAAGAAGAATAACTTTATGGCCAAATACCACTTAAGGCTACATTTACGTATCTCATAAGATATTTTCTAAATGAAATTGGTCGACCTGGGATTGAACACAAAGAGTTGTCCTAATAAAACCCTTTCCATCACCACTGCAAGATATCATAACAAAACTCATCGTGCTTGCAATTCGGTTTACATAAAGCAGTTACTGTTTTCTTGGGGTTAGTGTTCTTAAAAATATATAAACTCCTTTTTACCCAGGTAGTTATTGCTTACTTAACCACCTTTCAAAATTATTCCACGTTTTGTAGTTGCATTTTAATACAATAGTAATGAATAATAATGTAACAAAAATTTTAACATCAGATTTGTGAAATATATTTATTTTCCTTTGAAGATTTTTCACGAAATTTCGACGGAATTGATACAAAAAAAAAATCTTGAGAATAAAATTATGAAAACATAGACGACTTAAGGAAGACGTTTATTTGCAATGGTTTGTACTCTCTGTCAGCACCTTTTATGATTAACTGACAAATTTAGAGCCATTTGTGTCAATTGTGTTGTTGTTAATCAAGAAAAAAATTCACTGAGAAACTGTCAGGATTTTTTCTAGCAAATTAACATGTAGTGATGTGTACCTACTTATAAAAAAAAGTTATCCAAAACATATATAGAATATAGATTTTTTAAAACACTTTAAGTGAAAAATGACTTACAAATTTTAGTGCGATTCTTGTAAAATTTAAGGTGGCGTCAGTGTAACTTTTTTTGACTTTATTTGTTTTGTAAAAAATTACAAACATTTCTGGGATGACCCACCCCGCTACATCGAATAAATAGGTATCTATATAATGTATATATCTGAAATATTGATCTTTTTAGCGTAATTCTGTATGAAGTTGTTACAAAAATTATAATATTTTAGTACACTTTTAATCTTTTTTTGCAAAGGTGTCTTTATTTTGATATCCGCTAACGTATCCTGAAGCATCGACGACATCTTTTCTTCCAGATATACCTTTACCTTTTCCACTGTCATCAAAACGTTGTTTGTGAGTACCTGTATACTTTGATGTGTCTGTAAGTCGATCTACAGTGCTTGGAGTTTTGACTGCCTATAAATAAAAGATTAATTTTTATTCAAAGATCTTTGTTGCACAAGGTAAATATATTACAGGAAGGTGACTTGAAAAAAATGTACATAATAGTTAGGAGTAAATTTAAGGATATTACATTTTTTACTTACCCCAACTCCATGATGTCCGGGTTGTCCACAATTCGCCATCTTGTTTTTAATTTCCTCTACTTCAATTTTCTTATTCTTGGCAAGATCTTCCAGAAAAGATTTATAGTTAGTAATATTTATTTTTTGTGATTTAAGTTTTTTGAAATATATGCCCGTATCTGTGGTAGTAATTTTTTTGCCATCTATAACTTTGGCTTGTTTCATCCATTTATCACTATTTGAGAGAGTTATAAGTTTGCCGTCCGACTTTGGATCGCCGAATTTAGCAAAAGTCTTAAAATTTTCTTCAAAAGTGACATTTCCACTACTTGGGGGTACTGGAGATTTTGGTGAATCGCCGGCTCCATTTTCAAGTTTCAAGTTTTCAACCTCTTTTGTAGGCGGCTGATCACCGGTAGGTGGTTGTTCAGCGTTAGTTTCAGATTCGGACATGTTGCAGCTAGAAAAAAAATGGTGCTTTTTATATTTATAAATATTATCCCCAAATTAAATAAAATAGTCAAAGAGCACACACAATAATAAACATAAAACAAAAACAGCAAAAAACTACTTCGGGAGACAATTAACAAAATCGTAATTTAAAAAAATAAGTATATAATAATGCATTAAAAACTGACATTTTTTCTGTTCAGTTGCTGAAATAAAAATTCTAAATATATAATATGTATGCACCAAATGCAGGATATATTTTTAATTTTCTGCTATATACATATCAATGTCTACATTTCATTGTGAATAACCCTCTACTTAAAAAAAGTTCCAGTCCCTCTACTATTGTATAAATCAGGCATTAAAGAACAACGTAAAATTTGCTAACATTTTTGTTTATTAATTTTTTGATGACTTTTTTATTTTTAGGATCACGTAAGGACTTACAAACGACCAGTGTTACATTATTATTGTTATTATTACCTACATCATTGAAAATCTTTTTTTTTAACTTTATTTTGTACATTCTGTTGTAAAAACACGTAATTTACAAAAACATCTACGTTTTTCTATAATTAAATATCAGCTTTATAGCCAATTAATTTTTAATTGGTACTATCGATCATGAAAACAATTGCAACAGGAATACGGTTCATAGACACGTCAGTTCAAGTAACAAAGATGTGATCACTCTTCTAAATTTAGGTGCCACATGTAACCATCTGTATGAAAAAGAAATATTTTTCAAGATTCTTGGGACATTTTATATATATTATTGTAAATAAATAAAATGATGAATCTGACTTGAATTTATTTTTTCTAGGTGAAACTAAATTTGACAAATAAATTAGTTATGGAAAATATCAACAAAATTCAAAATTAACATTTTAATCACTCAGTTTAAGTAAACACTCGTCAAACAATTGTTAGTGGATATGTGATATAAAGTGAATGCAAAATCAATACAAAATTTTAATGACAAGAATACTTAATTTCATTTACTTATTGAATACAAGTAAACTATACAGTATTTTTTTTTCAATGACCAAGAAAATTACAAGTGAAACAAATACATTTTAATTAATATTTTATGTATAACGGTTAAATGAGTGTTAGTGTTCTCCATTAATTTTTAACAAGCTTTATATAAATACATTTGGAATATGATGTAAAAAACATATTAAAATGCATCGACGAATGACTAATTTCATATTTTCTCGACGTTTCCGTCTGTCTGTCTGTTGGTGACTTTTAGTTGTACTTTAAAACTACGTGTAGATGTTTAAATTGATGGAATTTTCTCCGTTGGGCAAATTAATTAAATAATAAATAATAATAATAATAAAAGTTGACCAATTTGTTGCCATTTTAAAATTTTGCTAGGTAAATCCTATTTAAATTTATTATTTATTATTAATCGCCCTTTTTACACATCTAGATTACTGAGAAAAAAAATAACATTGTATACAAATTTTTGTCTCAGAAAATACACAACCGTTTTAAAATTATCGTAAACATGGTGAATTCTTGATCAAAACTTATCCGTTTATCCCCCTAAAAACTGACTAACAATGACTTGATTCTATCTCAAATATATTATATAGATTAAAAAAAAGTTGTACTACAAAATTTTACGAAATCAATTGCTCTAAAATTTAGCGCTAGCTTTGACGTTATCATCAGCCTGATAGATCGATAACCAAAATTTTTGTATTCATTTCCACTATTTTTTTGATGACCTCACCTCAAAAGTTTGCTAAGTAAATTATATCTAAAATTTGTAGGATAATATGTTTAATAATATGTAGACGTTAACACGGACAACTATTGATATACCTCTCTAAATTTACTGTTAGTTATATCACTGATCAAAAGAGCCAGTGCTCGATAACTAATTACGCGTCCAATACAAACTTGCTGTTCATCGCTTCAAAACAAACCAAAATAAAAATAAAAGCTAAAAGAAAAATAAGAAAACTGGTTTTTGCAATAATAAACTCATCGTAAATAAAAAAAGACAGGTATAGTCTTTGCCATTTCTATTGAAACACTACTTATTTATCGTAAATTTGGCAACGTTCATATTCAGACAATTTTCTAACTAAAAGCCGTTGTCAATCAAGTGAAAGCTGTTATCAATTGCTAAATTTTAAGCAAAATCAACAGGTGGTGTTTCAATAGAAATGGCAAAGTCAATATAATAATTTTCAGAATAAAACAGGATACCCAAAACTGTCCACATAACGTTATACTAGATTCAGAAAACTGCGAATTAGTCAAGACTACTCGTTTTCATGAAATTTCTTTTCTATATAATTTTGTGCAGTTTAAGATTACAGTATGTAGTTACATAGAGGTATTTTCAAGTCAAATAAAATAGTGATCCTGCGAGCAGTAGGTAATAATGTAAACTTATTTACTCGTAAGCATAACGAAGTGTTCGTAAATGGAATAAATGTTACAGATACGATATATTCCTAAGCATAGACTGACTGTAAATCAAAAGGATGATTGTTATGCGGCGATCAGAAAACAATCTTCTGAATGATTTGCAACAGACAGACAACATCAATATTTTCAAAAGAAAGTTGTTTATGTTACTGTTAAATCTTGAACCATACAATCTGGACGAACTCTATACCACCATATAGGGTAATCTAGCGTTTATTTGTTTATGTTACTGTAATTATTTTTTATATTTTTGCGTTTGACGTTTTCTTATCTTTGTTATAACTCTTGTTTGTCGTAAGAAATATGTTTTCAGTCAAGTGGTATATTATCTACAAATGGATATGTAGGTACGCATCAACTTATCTATGACTCAGATCATAATCAGTTACGAACTATTGCATTTAGTGTGTAGCGACTTTTGATCATTTCCTCTAGTGACGATCAAATTCTATAATAACAAATGAAAAAAATAGCGCTATTAAGAATTCAAATAACTTATGACTTTATTACCTCAGTTATAAATTAGCTTCACACAAAGTGTGATTCGACTGGTGTAAGGAGGTTGTCATTACGAATTATTGGCGATACATCGATTAGTATTACGTATTTCTATAATATGGTAATTGATTGTAGGTATAATGTTTAACTGGCCAGTTTATATGGTACTAGTAAATTTCTGTCGTTTTTTCATTTTACTAAATACTAATTTTATTAGTGTAATATTAAACATACATTTCTTAAATAACAACTTTCCAGTTTTCAGGCAATTTTAAATAATACCTAAACGGGTCTTCCGTATATTGATCATATTAAATTTAGTACATCATTGATTAAAATATATTTAGAAACAAAGTGCAACCACCTTGTGGATTAGCAACACCCTAAATTTGGATTATGTTTCACGAATCCATTAAAAACTACTTCTAGAGTGACGACCTCATTTCATTAAAATGGAAGTGACATCTAGTATCGTTAATACTAACGCCTTATATGCGTTTATGCTGTCCAATGCTCATTTTGTTTCATAAATATTAACAATTAGTAGAAAAATATTAAATTTCAAGTAGAATTTTATTATTATTTTAGAATCGATCTTCTGTTCCGTATTTGGATGAAAAATGCTGATGGTATTGGGATATTTCTTTCTCCCACATAGTTGTCTATATGGGTTGAGTAAAAGCGACTGTTATCCGTCACAATTTGTCACTAAAAACTCGTCAACTAACGGTTACAATTGATGTATTATTTATTGAAACAAAAATTTAATATAGTAAGTATGTCATTACTTTTGTTTATTATTCCCACAGAATTCAAGTCCTAAAAAATTGGTCGAAGGTTATTTCGACACAATTTTTCTCGCCCTCTGAAGTACAGTCCAACAAGTCCAGAATCTTTGAAAAAATTTGATTTTGCGGACAACATGAAATATATTTAAGGCAGATAACCAACGGGAAAAATGTATTCTCAGTACACACTTAAGTTCAACTGTTTATATGTTCTTCAAAAAATTCTACCATTGCCACGTTCAGATAACAAACATCAACGGCGGCATTTGTGTTGAAAGAAAATGAAATTTGATTTATTTTGTCTCTTGAAAACAGGGGAAAGGACTAATAAATAATTAAGCTACAAGTTATTTTGGGTGAGTAGTTGTTACGAGTACTTATTATGGAAATTTGGTTTTGTAGTTTCAAAGTTAAATTGTAAAATGTTGTCCAACAATTTTCATTTCTTTACCACAAACTCAATACGAATTCATAAATTATACATGCAGGAGTATACTATGTAAACTTTGGAGACTACGTCATCCCATTGCTGGTAGGGATGATTAGAGACAATTTTCTTAGCGCTTTGCCATTACACGATATTCTTCATACATATAAAAGTTGACAACAATCGGCCGAGTAGTTCGGAAATTATCTCTCTAATAAAATCGACACAGAGGCAGACAAACAGGCAGTCAAACACAGACAAACGTACTCTAGGGGTCATGAAAACAGCCATTCGTGTGATGGATCCCATTACAGTATTTTTCAGCTTTGACTAGGAAAGTAAAACATTAAATATCTCTGATTATACGGTTTTTACGCTACGGTGTACTTGTTAGCGCCTGTTACACTATGCAGGGTTCATGAAAAATTAATTACTAGTTAATTGTCTTTTTTTCCCCAACGAGAACCACCAAATGTGGGTAGATTCATTATCATCTGTCACATGTGTATGTTGTCTGAATTTTCATGTTTCGTCCAATTGTTTGACCTTCCAAGTTTACATCACGTCGCTTCGTTATAAGCTCACTTTGTTTGAAACATCGTGTAAATGCAGACATATGTTTGAGTGTTAAAAAACAAATGACTAGAGAGTTTTTTTAATCGCTCGTTATCTTCCACTATAGACTCCATTCGAATCAATTGCCTAAAATCCGAAGAAGTCTGACATAGATTTTCTTTATTCAAAAATTCAGAAAATCCAAACAAATCTAAAATTTTCGTGTAGAGTTTGATATGTATTTAGTATGAAGTCACTGCAATAAAACACGATTTGATTTTCCATAGTAACCAGTTTCTCTTACATGATATAATGATATAAGAATGATTCCTTTCGAATAAGGTCTATTGAGGAATTCAAAATTATATGTATCCCCTTGACACAGTGCTTCAGTCGGGGTACCCAAAGCAGAAAGTATGAAGAATGAAATCATCAACTCTAAAAACAAAGACTCAATCCAGTTTTTCCTATTTGATTATACTCAAGATAACACTAATTATCTACGAACAAACAAGCATGAGGTGGATTTTATTTGCCATTTTAAAGCAACTAAACGACAGTTTTTCCGTAATTTTGTGAGTGTTAGGTGTTAAATCACCTACCGTAAAGTTTTGATCATCGATCACCGTTTAATTTAATACTATATTAGGATTATACAAACACATATAAATAAAAATGAACACATTCCCACGATGAGGTCACTTCTATTACCGTAGATAAGTCTGTTAAGCGTACAGTCTATGGTTGATAAACAGGTGCGACGATAGAGAAAGTTGGTGGATTTTAAAATAAATATTTTGCTGCATATCTTCATTGCTTCTTGTTAAGTTCGATAATTTTAATTAAAAAATACGTTTAAACAATAACTGGTTAATGGTAAGAATTGAGGAAATTAAAAAGATTGTAATTGTATTAAATTACGATCAATTTAAAAAGACACCTTGAGTGCAGTACTTAATTGAATAATTGTCATAAGTATTAAATTTTATTTACAGTACCATAAATTTTTCAACCTAAACTTTTACGACTAGAAAACAACACAATTTATGTTGAATGAATAAATTCATATCTACAAAAACTTTTCGTGATCTAAAAATATTTGAATGCATAGCGTCTAAAAATAAGTATTTATTCATTTACTACGGCGGAAGTAAGGGATAGATAACTTTTTACTGCTACTGACTGTGTATACAAATATAAAAAATTGCACAAGTAGTAGGTGAAAAGTATGGTAATATAGTAATCAAATCATGTGTCGTAACAATCTGAGGAGCAGAATATTAAAAATGAAAACTTGTGTATATCAATACAAATTAGTTAATTTTAGATAGATATTCAAATCAACAGTGTAAATACACCATACATAACCATTGCTTCATTATTACAAATAAATGATTAACAAAGAGTTACGAATTTTCCTAAAACATAAATCAAAAGGAACTAGTGCATTTCGGAAAACATTTTTTTTTTCTTTTTCAGGCAGAGTGTGCACTGTTCAAGGTAATTAGTATACATTGCATCGTAAAGCAAACAAAAGTTAAAGTACCTGTTTTTTTATGATTTCATAAACGCATGTAACCACAAATGTTACTACACTATTACGTAATGTGTTAGCTTTATCAAGTCTAAATAGAAAAACAAATATACATCCACATTTTGCCTTGATGTTTTTTTGTGGAAACATTTTCTTTATTGTCTTTCTTTGTTTATTATAAGTAGGTACTATCAACAACGTACAGCATACAATGTACTACCACGGAATAAAAATCAATGTAATTTTTTGTTAAATACGTACATAAAGTTAAAAATTTGGTGCATCATGCATCGCTTTCTCACTGTAAGATGATGTCATTCCTAATTTTATCCCTTATAACGCACGCTGCCCTAGTTGTAGGGTGTGCTAATAAGGGTTTCATGCGCAATACAACAAATCGATTATTTTAATAACCCGGAATCCTAATTTCATCTGAGAATAAAATTTTAATTCAAGTGCGCTAATCTACCTGTTAAACTTACGTACTTACTGTTTTTGTGTAATCTCTAAAAATAAAAAAATAAGCAAACATTAGCAAACGTTTACTTTTTGCTTTGATTTTCAAATAACGCTAACTTACAAAGTTTCGTAAGAAACTCATTCCATTTAGAGAATTATGTTGTAAATGGCAATAAAAGGTTGCGTGATCGAATCAATTTTCCTTTATTAAATATTTATGACAGATGTGATTGAAATTATCTTATCACCAGAAAAGGATGGTCTCACAACTTACCTTCTCTGCAAAAAAAATCGTCACGTAAATCACCTGTTGTTGAAATATATTCTACGACAACTTATTTACAGAGCACCGATACCAACTCTATGGCGTCTTGATTTGCACTGCTCGCAGTAAAGTGTGATATCACTCAAACGATTTCAGTGCTGTTACTACTGCTTTATCTGCTGAATTTTTAAACCGTTTTCATTCAGCCACTGCAGAGAAGAATTATTGATTCGTAAAACCTTCTTTTTTTTGGTTTAAATAAATCAAATTATTTTTGCGCATATGTATTTCAGGATTTGCGTCGATGATGCTGGTGAAACTGTATCTCTTGCCATTTTTACATAATTGTGTGCGTTATTGCGATTTCAAAATCGTGCTTTTCTGTTATCAAAAGTTTACTTACATGAATCGCTTTTAAAGTAAATAATAAGGTTTCTTTATTGATCGCTTAAAGGAGACAAAGAAAAACGTTTAATCGTTATTTTTTGTACCGATGACTGTACAAAAATTTTTTGCTGTATCGATTTCGAAAATCAGTAAATGATTTAATTGACAATTTACTTAAGTCGCTGCAATTAAATTTTTGTATATTCGTGTTAGTTTTGGAAATAGTTTCAGGACACCATAATGAACTTAAAAAACGATTTTCAGCTAACTTGTTTCATATTTGCTGATATTACTAATTCAAGAAGTTTTGTTGGCGTCCTTAAAGCTGTTTAATATTACACGAACTAGAATAGTCAGTGAGTGAAATCATGCAAATCGGTAACCGTATATAAAGCAGATCAATTTAACATAAAAATTGATAATAAAACATTTGCGAAAATTCAGTTATTAAAAATAATAGCTCATTCATTACATCTTTTTAAGAGATTACTGCATCTATCGACTAATTTTTAGATGTCTTTGTGAAGCTTGTAAGCTTCCTCAATCATCATCGTATTAACAGTCCACAGATGATCAGATTAAGTTAATTTCAATCAAATTTAAATGTTGTATTTAATCAAATCAAAAAATTAAATAATAGCTTCATTAACTAGTTAATGACGATTAAATATTTAATTCACCTACAATAGATCGGCCCTTAATTTAGTAAAATGTAAAAACTTATAGAGCTAAGTAAGTCCACTAATAGATACGTTATAATTTCCCCAGTTCTAATTCGGTTTTATGATAGTACCCCATTGTGTAAAAATTAACTTCCTTAACAATAGATTACTACTCCTGGTGATGGGACAATCAAATAAGGATTTAACCATGCCGTTACCATTATATAGTATAATGGTGAAATCGTTATTTATGACTGTCCCATCACCGGCAGTAGTAATCTATTGTTAAGAAAGTTAAGTTTTACACATCATAAAACCGAATTAGAACTGGGGAAACTTATACATGCGTATGTGTGTGTGCATTCTGTCATGAGAGAAAAGAACCAAGGTACCAGGCACAATAAAAATGAAAATTACTCAAAAGCAATAAAGTTATTAAGAAAAAATCTGGCAACGATACCAAATATAAATTGCAGTTTTTGAGATATATTTTTTCCTCAAATTTTATTGAGTATTTGAATAAATGAATATCGAATATAGTTCTTTAGTTTACCTGAACTGACCCCGAGCGGTAAAGCCTCCCCCTTTTTTTTGAGGATAATTTTTGTGTGAAATTAATAAAATCCTTTAAACATAAACGTGAGTTTGATTTCCGCAAGAAACAATAATACTGGACGCCAACAAAATTAATCAAATAAACTATAAATTGATAGGACATCAATCAAAATAAAACATGAGAAGATTCCATGGAGCAGATACAGACTTTGACCACTTAGTGATGGCGAAGTTAGTCGCTTTATAACTATAAAAATAGGAAACAGTACGGAAATCTAGAGAAAACATAGGCAGAAACCTGGCAAAAAAAAAACGAGAAATTACGATAAAATATTGAGTGTTGGTCACTTGCGCGCGGCGGTCAGTTTAACCCTTGTGGTTGGTCTAATTCCCAAAAACGTCATAGGACATTTGCACGCAAATAAAGGATTATAAGGATTATTATTAACTAGCGGATAAGTAGAAATCGGCACAGACTTTTACCCAGTCGAAAACTATCCTAGTATTCAGTTTATAATATTATTTACAAGACGAAAATTTTGTCATTGAAAAATCTTCAAAAATCCATGGTCGCCTTTAATAGTCTCTTGATATTAGTAATTTAGTTAATATGCATGAAACAAGATCAGCAGATTTACTTCTGTAAAAAGTGTTTCATATGTACATGTAAGAATATAAAGTCATTTCTGAACAAACTGTTTTATTTTTAACAATATGAACCTATTGGTAGAACAAATTTAAGAACACTAAAAACACTTACAGCTAAGCTGATTTGTTGTTTGTGTAATTATTAATTAGTATATTGAGTGAAAGATTAGTTTATTAATGATTTTCGAATCTTAAATGTTGTGATATTTTGACGATTTCGTCAATACGTGCATAATTTTTATTTCACTGCTTACAAATTCGTAGTGCACGTTAGGTTTTTTTAATCGTCCATGGTTCCAACATAATTTTACGACAATAATGTACATGTTTTAGACGTAGCAGAAATTCACATATTCAGGCTCAACTTATTTTAATAACGACATAAAGTTCTACCTGAGTTATTAATAGGTGGAATATTATTCATACTTCATAACTTCTTACTCGAGATTTAAAATAGCTCCTTTATTATGGCAGTTAAACTCATCTTAAACATTGATCCATTTAGAGAGAAAGTAAATTATCAAAAACCTACAAATTAATATGACCATGGACTCGAAATAGGAGGGGTACTTTATGTTTATTTTTTCTTATATTTATGTCTTAATATTCTTACAGTCTCATCACTTTTGTTATAGTCAAAATCTGAACATTTTATTCTCTTTATTTATTTTGATTTAATCAGTAACTTTAATTAATGCATAATTTAAAATCATGGAAATTCTTTTTTGATTTGAAATTCTTGATAGAGTGTGACAAAATTAAATGTTGCTTGCTTCATTTCTTATAATTCTAGTACTCCTTCAGTTATCGTTCTAAGTTCGAGAAATGTAGGATTTGAATTTTTATTGAAATAAAAGCACAAGATCGCATGGCGAAAGCCGAACACACGGTTTCTAAATAGTTAAAGGTGTAACAAATGTTATCTATTTATGGGGAAACCCATGTCCGCGTGAATCGCGCAATTTGGAAATAGCTGACTGCTTTACAAAGACGGGGTATCGCGTATAATATGCGGCAGGTTTTTTTAGGCATATAGTGGTAGGTGTGTTATACCTGTCAATAGAGTAAAATCATCGAGGAAGAGTGACAGACGGTGACGACAAGGAACTTAAATTCCGCTGTCGTTACAACGTCTTCTGTTGCACATTTGTTGATTTTTGGACTACCATAATTGAAATATGCCGCCACCCCATTGTAATAACTTGAGTATTCCCATCCAGTTTTGTTTAAAATTTTCTTCTTTGTGTGTTTAAATTCGATCAGTGACATTTAATTTTTGAAAACAGGGAGGTTTTTTGCAGCTGAGTGAAGAAGTCCTTCAAATTTATTACATAGTTTATTATTCATTAATATTTTCAAAGATGACGTGATTTTACAATATTGGGTGTTTTTGTGATTTTTTTGTCTACTTTTGTATCAGTAGAAATAAGCATGTTGATAATTTCTGAATTAGTTTTTTATTCTGTATCAAAAAATGTCAAAAAAATCTACCGGTCCCTTAAAAAAAAGTAGGCGGCCTTGTGTGTCAAACCGAAAGCGATAAAAAAGGGAAAAATATTGTAATCAAGTCGCCATGTTTAACTATATATCCACCCAAAATTTCCAAAAAAAAGCTTTTCAAATAACAAAATTATTCAATCGTTCCGGGACTTTATACTAACCCTGTATAAGCGGTAACATGTTGCAGTAACCCAACTTGTGTAAAAGAACTTATTCCTCAACCAAAAAGCGCTCTCCAGCCTTCAACAATGAAATCAAATGCTACGAATCAAATATCACAAATTTAAACATACAAAAAAAAAAGAAATTTTAGATAAAGTAACTATGTGGTCACACACGATGATGTGGCAGAATATTTGAATATAAACAAAACGAAAGTCTGTGTCGGGAGTCCAAATCATAGATCACGGGATCGATTGCTCTGATCAACGCGATCAAACCCTCCTCAGCTTGCACTATTACGTTGTATTGTAAGATTCACGAGCAACAAGCTACAACATACAACACATATTCATCCTCGCGGTGTGAAGTTGTTACGTACTTGATCGTATCATCCACTTACTCGCGAACTGCAAGGCCTACTCGTTCCACAAAAAGTAGGTACCCCAGGCAAAATAAAATAACAAGGTAAATTTTCCTCTGCTAACATCGTTGCAATTGACCGATGAACTTCAACTCATTCATTTGTTATTATTGGTTAAAAAGGTGTTCTTACAAATCAGAAAACGTCCGCGTCGACATCCCTTGTCCCCAAGGTGACCGCATTAATCTGAAATTTTACTCCCGATGTTCTGATCGTAAAACTGCAAAGCAATAAGCATTTTCATGATTTTAAATTATGCAGGAATTCAAGTTAAGAACTAATAAATCAAAATGCATCCAGAAATTATCTCATGCTCCGAAACCCTCTATCACAAACAATACACATATCGCTCTAGAGCGACGGTTCCAGAATAAATATTCAAATTCAAGTCACAAGAAATTACTAAACTTGCATGGTGATAATAAATTGGATCTCTAAGAAAATATTAAAATCCTCTTGTTTTGCAAGTTCATGAGGATATGAATTTAACGGATGGAAATTTCAAGGTTCTTTGTCTCAAAATGAAACGTTTTCGATCAGTTTAAATGCCATAAATAAACTATTATCAATCTTGAGTGAGAAATCAATGAAGTGTACTATAATGTAATAACTTAAATAAAAACATCAAGAAACTTTAGATATTGTGATAAACAAAACAGTGAAGGCTCAATAAGTGATTTTTTTCTACTTTGCGTTAACAATGGCCTCATTATTAAACCGAAAACAGTTTAATAATGGGATCAATTGTTAAACTGTATTTCAGGTGGCGTGCAAGCCCCCATCTTCCATTTTTTGAGGCAAACTTAGGTTAGATTGTTAGTGTTCGGTGGTTAGATGT